AGCCTCCCAAGTGCTGGGATTACAGGCGTGCGCCACCACGCCCGGCTCAGCTCCCAGAGCTCTTCCAGGAGCCCCAAACTCTTTCCCAAGTCCCTTTATTTTTTATTTGTTTTAAAGCAGTGTCCCTCTGGAGCCCATCCCCAGCCTCGGGATCATAACAGTGTTCCTTTCACTATAGGGAGAACACGGCCTCCACTTGCAAAGATCTGCCCTCCTGCGAGGCAGCGTCTATTAGACTGTCTTCTCCTCCGCCAGCCCCGCGCAGGTCCCCGGCCCGGCTCGGGGGCCCGCTCTCCCGGCGACGCGGCACCTGCGATGCGGCCGATCGGAAGAGGCGCGCTGGTGCGTGGACCTGGCCGCTCCTGTCCGGCTTCCTCGCGTTTTCCAGCCGAGGTGCGAGGGCCGCGTGGCTGGGTCCTGGGACGGCTCCACTGAGGCCGGGAGAGGAAAGAACCGGCTCCTGGCAGGGGCCGGGCGAGAGCGGAGAAGGGAGCGGACACCCCCGGCCCACCTGCCCGGCGCCAGGTGCCAAAGCGCGCTCAGGCGTCGGTCCTGGGGCTGTGCGCACCCCTGCCGGGGCCAGACACAGCCGAGGAGCTGCTCACCCGGGGGGAGAACCCAGCCCTGCGGCCGTCCCCGAAGGCCCCAGGAGCTGAGCGGCCACCACGCCGCCTCGGCCCACCCAGAGAGTGGCACCCCTCCGCCGGCCGTGGGAACAGCCCGGGTGGCACCCAGGACAGAGGAGGGGCTGACCACAGGAAGGGCCGGGCCGGCCAGTGAGGCAAGAATGCGGAGAATGAGGCTCTGAGTCAGCCGCAGGCCTCCAGCCGCTCGGGAAGGAGCAGGGCTTGTTTGGGGTGGGCGTGTGGCGGGCGGCAGAGGCAGAGGGCGCGGTGAGAAGGGAGGGCCTCAGGAGGGCTTTACCAAGGGGCAAATCACCCCGGGGAGGGGGCCGGTTTAAAAACACAAATCCACCGCTGGAGTCGTGGTCTCCTCTTTCTTGTAGCTCATCGTTCGAACTCAAGCAGCCGGGCAGGAACCCTCCCCTGCGATCTACTGAACGCCAGCCTTGGGTCACGCTGGGTCCGGGCACCATCGCGCCAGGGTGCAGCGTGACCCGGGGGTTCAGAGCTGGCTTGGGTACGGCTGACGTTTGCCACCCTGCTTATTCTAACCACATCCGGGACTTCTTCCTCGCGGCACGAAGGCCCGCAGGGCCCAGGGGGTGGATGGCCAGGTGTCTGTTTGGTGAGCTGGTTTGAGTGATGGGCCTCTGAGGAGACAGTTTCATTGGAGGGTAAGGATGGGGTAGGGACAGGCCCAAGTATGACTCTTTGTATTGGTAGAATTTTGGTTACAAGTGAAGGAGCCCCCCCCCCTTTTAATTATGCCAAAATGAAATTGATTGGCCTTAGACCTTAAGTCCAAGAGGTGTGACTAGTCTTAGATAGGGCTTGCTCAGGAGCTCTAACATGATGTCACCAACATCTAGTGTTCTCTAATTGTCTTTTGTTTCAACTCTTCTCCAAGTAAATAGTTTTAGCCCAGCCTGGTTCCATCCCCATGGTATCAAGATGGCTGCAGAAGCTCCAGGCCTCACACTTTTTCTGAGGTCATAGGACCAGTTTGTTTCTCTGATAGCTTAAAGTTCTATACTGAGTGTCACTGCCTCAGATTGCCCTGAATTGGACCGGGTATCCTAACCAAGGATTGCGGACAGAGAGGGAAGTATATTGGCTGACAGTGTCGTAGTCTTCTCCACCCTATCTGCCTTTGTGGGACAGGGAGGTGAAGCGGGAGTTTGCTCACAGGAGTGATGGGGCAGCTTCCCGTGACGGCATGTCTGAGGTGAGTGAGAAACCCTGGCCCTTCTGTAGACCAAGAACTTCCTGGAAAAGCTGAGGCGCTTCTGTGGGGCCTGGGTTGCAGGTTGGGCCCCAAGTTACAGAGAGGAAACGTCCCCTCTTTCCACTCAAAGCACAAACCATTCTCTGTAGCCACACCAGCCGGCACCCAGTGTCACACCCTGGGCAGAAGGCTGGGGGGTGGGCAGGGAGGCCCTGGCTTCAGCTGCCCCGGGCACGAGGACACCAGCAGGGAGGCAGAGGGAAGGGGAGCCTGCAGCCTCCTGGAGATCGCTCCCCAACAGCCAGAAGTGGGGGTTCCAGTTGAGCCAGAGCCCCTCTTGGCTTCGCTTCACTCCCAGCTCCTGGAGACACTTCCGGCCCCAGGGGCTGCGTGGGTAGCGCCCCGGGCAAGGCGGAGACGCCTCCCTGAGGCCAGGCCTGTTCCTGTTGCTTGTCCTGATCTGCCCCAAGCCCAGACACAAGGGCCAGCAGGAGAGCCCACAGGTGCTCGAGGCTTAGAAAGAGCCCGGATGTGCCCTGTGGAATGAGTGTCCAGGGCCCTGAGGCGGCTGTCAGCCAGGGAGGTGGGTGGCCCTCGGGGGAAGCTCCCCAGGCTGGCCGTGGCCTTTCAGGTTGTGCTGTCACACACCAAGGGCAGCGGGAAGGCCAGAGGGGGAGGAAGCACACAGAAATCACAAACCTGTGCGCCGGCTCCGTGAACAGCCTCCTGCAGGCCTTGCAGAGCGGAGGACAGGGGCAGGGACGGGGGTCCTCCTCCTCCACGCTGGGTGCTCCCCTCTGCAGCCACACTTCCTCCTGGCCTTTCTCCCAGCGCTGCGCAGGGGGGCACACCGGACAAGGACCGTGTGTGTCCAGAATGAGTGGTCAGCAGGGTCATCTGCTCCCCAAACCCTGGGCTTCTCCTCCCGCAGAGCCGGACCTGTCAGACCCCTGGCTGGGGGAAGCACGCTTGGCCCCTCCATCCACCCATGAGTCCTCAGGTCCTGGATGCAAATAGTCCTTTCCTTGCTTGCCAGCAGCTTGAGCTTCCTCTAAGAGAATGGCCGCCGTCCCTGCCAGCACCGGGGGCCTGCCGGGTCTCGGTGCCGGGTCTCGGTCCCTCCCTGCAGGGAGCAGCCCTGGTGGTGGGGAAAGCGAGGGTTTGGAGCGAAACCGACAGGGGTTTTAATCACAGCTCCTGTGCCTGCTGGCCCTGACTCGGAGCAGGTTACTTTACTTCTGAGCGTCCGCCTGCTTATCTGGAAGCTGGGTGGCGAGACCTACAGGTTGCTGTAAGGAGCACAGATAAGAAGACGCAGGTCCTGGCCTTCCAGTCTCTCCACATCCAGATCACTTCCTGTGCCATCTTGGTCTCCAGTCCAAACACTGGCCTGCTCACCCAACGACCACGGGCAGAGAGCTGCACTGGCTGCATTTCTGCAGCTCTGTAGCCCTGGGAGGTTGACGCCGCTAAGCTCGTTGGATTCAAGAGGCCACCGTGTCTCAGAGACACAGGAGTCAGGAGGTGGCTGGGGTGCGGAGCCAGCGGCTGATGCCTGGTCTCCTTGGACTGCTTCTCTGCTTGGAGTGTTCCCCTTCTTTTCTCTTTCCTTCCATGGCCTCCAGAACACCTTGTGAATCAGTGAAGATGCTTTTTTTTTTTTTAAACAAGGTCTCACTATGCAGTTAAGGCTGGCCTTGAACTCACTATGTAGCCCAGGCTGGCCTTAAACTGACAGCAATCCTCCTGCCTCAGCCTCTCAAGTGCTGGGATTACAGGCGTGCGCCATCACGCCAGGCAATGAGGACACTTTTGATTGCAGGTGACAGATACCTCCATGCCAGCTGGGCATGGCGCGGGGGGGGGGGGAGACTGCCTTTAATCTCTGTACTCAGGAGGCGTTGGCATGAGTGTAAGGTCAAATCTGGGCTATACAGCAAAACTCTGTCAACAAACAAGCAAACAACCTCCATTCTAAATAAGTTTAAGGAAAAAAAAAAAAAAGGAAATTTCTGACAATTAACTGGCAAACCAGATGCTCTTATTCTAGGTAAGGCTGGATATGAAACTCAGAATATGTCGTCAGTGGTTTTTTTCTTCCTAAACAGTGCTTCTGCCTTCTTTTATGAATGCTAAAGTTTTAGGCTTCACATGGCACTGAAAGGGCATAGTGGCTCCAGCTCAGGTGCCCAGGGAGATGGATTCTGGATTAGTGGTTATGAGGTAGGGTCCACAGCCTGGACTTGATGACTTTAAAAGAAGAAGAATCCCAGCACTCAGGAGGCTGAGGCAGGAGGACTGCTGTGAGTTTGAAGCCAATCCAGTCAGTGGATTGATCCAGCAATCACCCACCCTTAATCCCTGCATTGCACACTCTAGATTCAGCCAACTCTGAAAACCCGCCCCCCATGACTACATGAGGCTTTGGAGGGGAGATATCTAGACAGAAACCATAAAGTCAGGTTCCAGGCACACAAGCAAGGGCTACATAAGCAAATTCAAGGCCAGCCTAAACGGCACAGTGATAACTTGTCTCAAAAAGAAAGAAAGACTGGAGCAGGTAAGCTTGCACAGTCTCATCCACGGATGCCCTCTGCCATGTCACCGTGGCACAGAAGGCCCTCACTAGACGCTGAGCGGGTGCTGGTGCCATGAGGGTAGACTTCCCAGCCCCCAGGGCCACGAGCCAAACACGTTTCTATTCTTTATAAATTAGCCAGCCTCAAGTGCTTTGTGATAGCAACCACAACCAGGCTAACACAGGAGTCGTCTTGTCCAACCCTGGTGTTCTGAGGAAGAAGTTGGGGCGCAGAGGCATGAAGTGACCTGTCCCAGGGCTCCTGAGCTATTGCTGCCTCCCTGGAAAGCTCTTTCGGGGCTGGAGGTGGTGAAGAATAGACATGGCACTCTGAAATTATCCCATGTATCAGGGTATCTTCCTCAGTTTCCCACAAGAGGAAACTGGATTTGAGAGCACGCAGAGGTGACTTCCACCCAGAACCCGGTTGACATTAACCTCTCCCCTATCCTCTCTGACTTACTGTCTCTCAGGATACAGCCACAATAACCTGCCGGCCGGCCTGCTCTTAGCTGCGATAGCTCAGCCCCTGCTCCGCTCAGAGGCCGTGCCCAGGCAGCCTCGGGGAGGGTCGAGGTGTCCCGGAACCATTTCAGTCACACAGTCCCGACAGTCCTTCGGATCGGGCTGCTCCGGAAGATTCATATGTTCATCCAGCCACGCGTGCAGAGTTCATTGATTATGTGTCAGTGTCTTAGTTACTTTTCTCATTGCTGAGACAAAATACTCAACACCCATAAGTTAAGGACGGAAAGGTTTATTTGGTTCCCAGTTTACAGAAGTTTCAGTCCATACCTGGCTGCCTCCAAGGCAGGGTGGCACATGACAGAGGGCAGCAGTTCATGGCAGCAGAAGACAGCAAAAGCAACCAAGGGAAGAGCGAGACACGCTTCTTTCTGTCCCCTATACTGTATCCAGCTTACCGGAATGAGGGCAGTGCCAATGAAATCGGTGGATTGATCCAGCAATCACCCACCCTTAATCCCAGCACTGCACACTCTACATTCAGCCCCCTCTGAAAACCCTCCCCACCAAGACTACATGAGGCTTTGGGAGCGGGGAACATCTAGACAGAAACCATAGATTCAGGCTCCAGGCACACAGTGGTGAACAAGATTTTTGGTGGGGTTGTCACTG